ATTGCAGTTCAGGACACCTTGCATGTTAAGGCCTTGTTTATTAATACCTGTACGTATACTCAGAGTTGGCGTTAGTGGTTGTCATTTGTAACACATTGCTACTCTTATAACAATTTGCAATAACTTATAAGTTAAGTTTCAGTTTTTATTTGAAAAAATGCCTCGGCAAGCTGCTCATTTTGTTAAATTTTGCTATTTTAAAAGAAGATTTACAATATTAAATGGACTATACTTATATCTTTACTTTAGTAGTTGATAAGCCCATGTGGGCTGGGTTGTTATTTTATTACTTTTCTTTTGTATTGTACTGTATTAAATGATGTAAACTTACCACTGTAAATAACAATAAAACTAAACTAAACTATAAGGCGATGAGGTTATGTCATGTTGAAGTATACTTTGTTAAATAATATTTCTTGGAGAGGAATTTTCTCTTAACAATAGATATTTCTATTTTAATAAAACCTCACATTGACCCTCATTTCATTTTATTAATAAAAAAAATTACAGGAAACTAAGATTGAATTGGGTATTAATTAAGAGACAGTGCCTCCTTAAGATTCAAGAAGATGGTATCAATATCTATGGATTTATTGTTTATTTAAAGGGGCACTGTTGGTTAGAGGAGACAATCCTGGTAGTGGTTGGCAAAACACTATAACCAGGATTCTCCCGTGAATTTGATTATTTACACAGGCAAATTACATCGGACCCCGTACAAGCCCGTACGGAGCTTGTTGTGTCAACGGACCCTGTACAACCTCGTACAGGCCTCGTTATGAGTCTCGTAATTGCTTGTGATTACAAGGCCCGTAATAGCTCGTAATTTTCGACCCCCGTACTTGACCGTACGGTGCCCGTAACGAACCCCATAATAAATCGTAATTTTCGATCCCCGTACTTGCTCGTACGGTGCCTGTTACGAGGCCCGTAATAGCTCGTAATTTTCGAGCCTTGTACTTGCCTGTGTGATACCTGTAACAAGGCCCGTAATGGCTCGTAACTTTCGAGCACTGTACTTGCCCGTACATGGCTCGTAACGAGGCTCGTAACGAGGCTCGTAATTGCTCGTTGATTTTGATAAACACTTTTTGCTCGATAAAATAAAATACAGCGTTCTTGAGAAATGACATTTCAATTATATCTAATTGTGAATTAATATGTCTTCAATAATGTCAAAATATTCGCATGTCTGTATCAACATGATAAACAGTATAAAAGCTAGGAAACAAAATAAACAGAAGGGTTACCAATATTAGGAGACACCGTATTTCTCTACAAGTGAAGTAAATGCATATAAAAGCATTTCTGTGCGGTATTGGAATAAGTTGAAATGTGATGTAAATAAATGTTATCGTTTTTGAATGTGTGAAGAAAAACATGAATGTGAATTGTATCTCTCTGATTATGGCCTACATAGCATGTTCTGGTTAGGTGCGCAAATTATGTAGCGTGACAATAATTATTTTTTTGTTCCGAGTTTGATAACGGGCCTCGTAAGAGCTCGTATGGGCCTCGAAATTACGAGCCTCATATGTGCTCGTACGGGCCTCGGAAACAACAATTACGAGCATCGTACAAGCTCGCACGGGCCTCAAAAGGGAGCTTCGTACGAGCCCGTACGAGGATGGTGCTCCTTTTTGTCCGTAATGACTCATAATTCTCGAGGCTTGTACGAGCTCGTACGGGCCCTGATTTAATTTGCCTGTGTACCTTTATGTCATCTTGATCCATCATATTTTATGACTGAAGGAATACACTGGTTTAACAGTATGCTTATATGCCCTTATGTAAATGTTCCATTTCAATAATGACAGATAGATGTTATACCAAATAGAAATCAAATAATTCATTTCTGATTGATATTTCAAACCTGCTGAATGTTAATAGCGCAAAGTAGGAGTAGTAAGCTGACAGCAGGAGAAAAGCTAAACCTCATCTCACATGTTGAAACAGTAGATCTAGAGTTGGCACATTCAACATGAATGGGTTATCACCGTTACAAAAATAGCAATGTTGATTGGGAACCTATGTAACTTAGTCTCTAAGGACCCTGCATGGTCTTGATGTAATTAAGGTAGCTTTACTACAAGAGACCCAAATTATCAGTATACATATTTGTATATTCATATGTTTGTGACATAATTATGATTTGTAATTAATGAAACATTTGCTGGAATTACACATGGCGTTTTACAAAAGCGTCTCCGGTTTTAACCAGGTTTAAGAATTAGGTGTAATCACGATTGCGGTTTTACAAAAGCGCTTTTCTAAAAATCCAAGAACCCTTGTCACTAGTAAACGGCATAAGTCGTTAGGCGCTTTAAGTGTGCGGTGTAATACCGATTGGTTTTTGTAAGACGCCTTACCCGGGTTTTTACTAGTTTTTAACATTTGCCCTAAACGAAATATTTGATACATTTGAAACATTTGATACATGATGAGACATCCGGTCACGCTGCTATCTGGCTAAATCTAAATTGAAAAATAGATGATGGTCGCCAGGTCACATCGAAATCAAGTGTTATCTTCAGAGAATATGTACATATTTTTCTTTTACCCTTTTATTATGTTTTCTCATAAAACATAAATAAAAATTATGCAATGTCATGCATTTTTAATCAAATTATGGAAGATCAGTTTTGTCTTAGATGCAAAAAGAATACATTTACAGGAGATGTACCCATACATGTATGCTGAATATTACCCATAACTACATCGTTAAAAGTGCACGAAAGGCGTTTTAGAAAAAACAGGTGTAATTCCAAAACATAATTCCTAAGACGCTTTAGAAATGTTGGTGTAATCAGAATGGCGATTTTGTAAGACGCCTTCCACTAAAACGTTTTAGCGGATTTTGTGGTGTAATTCCAGCAATTATTTTTGATGTCTTAACGCTGCATACTCGTAGAATCACTGCTCCTGTGTTAAATAGCATGGATTAGTGGCTCTATCTTTTGCCAGTATATAATAGCTACCTTAAAAGAAGGTTGTAACTACAGATTGAGCAAGATGCGACAGGCTAAATAGGTTAGTTTACTTACTTACACACAATCAGTCTTAAGGCTGACAAGCAGGCATTAATTTGAAATCTCAGTCTAAATTTATTCATTAAAACAATGCTTTTCCTTGTTATTGGTTATCATGAAATAAATCTGATAAATCTGAGCCAACCTGATAATTTATTTCTCATCTCGGAAGATTGTAATCCATATTTCATTGTTCTTAATGTAGATAAAATCTCGGGTTTGTTTGCAATTTTTTATAAATCACATAACAGGCACATGATTATTTTGTCATCACTATCATTCAAGGGGTCTTTTATATCATCACTGTCATTCAAGGGGTCCCATGTGCTTAATTATTTCTACAAACACAATTATTTTAACAGAGTTTCGATTGTGCATTATTTAGAATTGATAAATGTTGCAATGATAACATGCTTACTTCTATCCTCATTTGTGAATGATTAGTCCAACAAACATTCTGTCTAAATATAAGGGAAAGATAATTTTTTCAAGTGCAAGTACAGATAAGTGTTGATAATATATGACCTGCACTTGAAAACCTTAAGGTCAAAGTAGCAAATGAATTACTCTAAATGATCAATTATGTAAATCCACAGTAGAAAATCCATAGGCAGGGGGCGGCTTTTTTTTGGGGGGGGGGGTTAAACCATCAAGTGTAACAAGTCAGAATACACCAACTTCACCTCTCAATACAACTCCTATTATCTCTGTGGAATTTATTTTGCCATTCTGATTCATCAGAATCTCTCTTTATCTAAATCCGGGATCTAAATCTTTTCTCTATTCTAAGGGATGGTAGATTCTGTAGATCCCACAATGTGTTTTCACTCTACTATACCTAACCCCTAGAAATGCATAAGGTACTCTGTTTGTCTAATTGTATTGTTTATTATATTTTTGAAAGTACCTTATTAACATCTAACAGCATCCAATAAACCATTAATAAGGAACAGACAAATAAAAACAAATAACATAATCTTTACTAATAAGCCAAATGGGTTGCTCATGAACACCAAATGCAAGGTAGAGTAATTTTTGTAGCTTATCTTCAGAATTTTTTCAACTGAATATGTGTATGCATGCCGGTTTTCAAGATTTGTCTATTACTTAGCTTTTAATCATCTTTATTATATTACCTTTCAACCTACAAAGGGACATTAGAATCATTTAGATGCGGAGGGTGGTGCAATTTACATTATGAGGATTTATTGTGAGCATTACAAATAGCTAGAGCAGGATTTGTTTACTGTCAAACTTCAATATTAAGAGTAAAGTGAGAGGGGATGGGTTTAGGGATGGGGCATAGAAAAGTAAAAAAAGTGAATAGCATCAAAAATCTGAAATTCCTCCTTTCAGTTTCTTATTCAATAGAGATGACATATCTAACTTAAAGTCCTTGATCAACGCCTTTGTTAACAAAAATCATACAGTTTACAGTCTTGTACTGTTAATTTTAGTAAAGGGGATATGAATAAGGGGTTTAAAAATTACCTTGAACAGCTCTTATATATATACAATGAACGCAACCATATATCTTATTCTATCTTAGTGTTTTTAGCTTCAATTTCTTGTTATCATTGAATGCAGCAAAACTGACCAATGAGAGGATGGGTAATGTTACCATTTACCCTTTGTAAGAGCTTGTCTTCACTTTTGCCCTCTGCATTATTTTGATCTGCCTATAACAAATCAGATTATACAGCTAGGATACTGCATTTTTTGCCTGATGAAGTTAAAATTCAATAGCATGCTAAGTACCAAGTCTCACAAATCTCATCAATTTCGAAAATAATACAATCTCCGGAAATATAAGATTCTATTAGATCCAATTTTATACTTAATAGTTCGAGTTAATTATTTTGCTTATACCTCAATGCACAGCCTCAATGATTGAATCAATGCCGAAAAATTCCCATTCAATGGAACTCTTATAATTAAGTGTTTTCATTTGATTAGATTTTTATACACAAGAGCATTTAATAAAAGATTTGATATCATAAAGGCAATAGTTCTCATCCATGTTTATTTGATGAAATTGCTGCTGGTTGCAAACTGCCAAGCTTCAATTAAATAGGGGCAATACACTCTACCATACCTAACCCCTAGAAATGCATAAGATACTCTGTTAGTCTAATTGAATATATTGTTCAATATATTTTTGAAGGTACCTTATTAAAATCTAACAGTCATCTGATAAACCATTAATAAGGAACGGACAAATAAAAACAAATAACAATCTTTACTAATAAGCCAAATTGGTTGCTCATGAACACCAAATGCAAGGTATAGTAGAGTGAATATCAGGGTTGATACTAAGCAATCAATTCTCTGGCTGTAAAGAAATCTTCATTATTCATTATTTCTCTGGAGTGTTTTACTGGGAATTTAAAATGACAGAAATTAAGTAAAAATATGGAAATGATTTTTGCCATAATGCAATGAAAATTCTGCAACACTGTGATAACTTATGATACTTTAATATTATATTCACTCAGAAAATCATATTAATTCTGAGGGAAAAATCATATTGTGGTTTCATTCACTTAAAAATCGAATGGATGAAAGTAAATGAAGGTTCACTCAGAAACATAGGGTTCACTTGTCACTGAAGGGTTTACAAATAAAAACATAGGTTTTACAAGTAAAGGTAGGGCTCGCAAGTAAACATGTAGTAATCACATAACCCTCGTAAATGCATCATAGGCGAATACCTGAACAGAAATATATGAACTGGCTTTGGAACTAATATACATCAATGTGATTTTTAAGATTGCACGTAAGTTACCCTTTCATCAAAGCCCCCTAAGCTGCAAGTATGTCAAGTGCTGAGATGCTTCTACTTGAAATGTGCTCCTATATTTAGTAGTTTACCTATAGCTTGTAGCGTATCATGAGCAGCTACACTGCTAAGAACTGGGCTAAATGCCTTCTAAATTGTTTCAGATGGAGATATTGGAAAATATGTGTATTGTACTTAAGTTATATAATTATTGACCTATTTGGAGGTGAACAATTCTCATTATGATCCTTTAATTCGGAACCCCTATAAGAAAAGCATCTCACCTTATGAAATAAAGTTTTTTAGGCTTTGAGTTAGTTGAACTTTTAAATAACACCTTTTAGAACACTCTTTAGCATTACCAAATACAGGGTTTATTCCATAAATCTATTGTGCTTATTTTCAAAATTTTATGGTTAGATCTATGGTTTGCTCTATATGCTCATCACTAAATAAGGTGTTTGAGTCGTCTAGCTGGTCTTCAATAGCAAGTTTATTTTGAAAAATTGATCTATTGGCCTATTAGGTGATCTGTTTTAGTTTCTTGAGATTCTTACATAATAAATCAATGAGTCTGTCTTCTCTATTCAAGGAATAGGTTTACCTTAATAAATTGGCGAGTTTATCTTTCTGAACTGTGTGAGTAAATGAACTTTGTGAGTGTATATCAACAACTTTATGTGAGTTTGTATCTATGACTATGCGGCTGTTAACTTATCCTTATTCTAAATTATGTAGGTTTATGATATTGGGTTTAATACAACAAACTGATTTCATAATAGCTCTTCTAAATCTATCTTGATGAAGATGCTTTGGGAGTTAAGACTAAAACACATAAATAAAACAAACAAGTTAATGAATAATGCCCATGTTAGTTGTGTAACAACTGTAGGTAAGTTGGAAAATGAATGATTGTTTGTGTAAGTCTGAGGAACTTAGAGATTATTAAGGAATGGCTCCCAGGGTTCCAACTTGATATTTTAATCTCCAAGCAATTTGTTCATTGCTGATTATGCCTGCATATTTCTACGGATGCAAGGAGAATGCCCGATATTCTAATATCTTGATCACTTACTGTGTGTTTTGAAATTTTTTGTATGTTTATGACCAAAACACGTGATTCAAATTCCAAAGTGAAAAATTGGTGGCTGTTTAATTTTGAATTTTGTAATCACAACATGACTCCATATACTGCAGAATATCAAGATGGAATGCTGGGAGCAAATCCTCATTCGATATTATTTGATAATTGCCTCAAAGAAAAAATTTATGAATATGACATAGTCATAATTGTTAAGTTAATAAAACTTATAACAATTCAACAATTTTTTATATGTTAATCATTTTATTCTGTGAGACTAGAGTTGTCAAATGAAGTCTACTTATATCAAGAATGTCTGATTGATTGAGGAGCGTTTGATTGATTGAGGAGAATTTGATTGATTGACGAGGGGTTGATTGAACATTGTTTTCCACTTACCCATTTGTCTTGATTAATGAATTGATAAATTCTATAACAAAACATGGCCCTCATATCTAAATAAGAGATGTCCATCAAGTATGGTTTCCTTCAGTGTGGGGAGGGGGGTGGGGGGTTCCTGTTTATCTACCTAGATTTGTCTGCACTTATTCCCTAGGCATTCCCTCAAAGTCCCCGTCTAAAGTTCGAAAATATTTTTTTATCATTCATTTACTATTTGTCAGGACATAAAAAGTGATTTTAGAGATTTTTGAACAAAAAATTTTTTTTGAAAAAAAAGTTGTGAGCATTTCATTTCTCAAATATTCAAATTTCCCGCCATTTTTCAAAAAAAGTTGAAATTTCTTAATGCATTTCAAAAAAGATTATCTTTTTAACACCAATGCAAAGGTTGAACAAAGGACACACTATTTCAATAATAAAATGCCATATTTAATGGGCCACTTCAATGTTTTAGCATATCAAAAATATTTTGAAACATTAGTGATGTCACTAAGGTACCAAAAACTTTTTGAAAAAAATCGAAATTTTTTTTTCGATGTCAATCTTTTCTAAATATGTTAGACTTTCATAAAAAAAACAATGTTGATTGTCTAACCAGGTTAAAAGGAAGAATAAATTATGCTTTAGATATCATTGTACCATTGGTTTCTATGAGAACTAAAATTTTGAAATGCATTTTTCTCAGAACCATTTTCATGCACTGATAAGTTCATTTCTCGCTTATTTATGAACCAATTTTCTTAATTTTTTCGGCAAAAAACACGTGAGGATGAATGCTATGCATTGGTTTGAATTGTGGCTAATTAGAAGATATGAATGACCTCTAAAAGTTGGTTTTAAATAAATTCACAAATTTTGGAACAAAAAGTCTATCAAAAACCACTTTTTGAAATTTAAAAAAAAAGTTTCACATATCACACTTTGATAACATTGGGTAAGACTACAATATAAGCCAAAGTGGTTTAAACTTTATATGGGGCCTTTAACCATTTAATTGTACAAGTAAAAGTCAACAAGGAGTTTGAAGTCTAATTGAAGACAATGACTAAAATAGGATTCTTCAAGTACAAATAAAAAGAATTTTCTGGTTATTCAACTTTTACTTTTTCACAGTAATCCATATAACAACAGCCAAAAGCTATTTTAGAACATCGTTTACTAATACTGTTTTATGAGATATTCATAAGGAATTCATAAGCTAAAGGCTGTTATCCAACACAGTTTATCATTTAGCGTATATGGCCATTATTTGTAAAATCAACATTGAAAATCAATGAAATAGTTTTAATTTAAGATAAGGCACAATTAAAATAATTAAAAAAAATATGGTTTTCATCCTCAACATGCTAAAGCAACAAATAAAAGTTGATTTATTTACATTGAAGCTATTTTCATAAGGCTAGAACACCTTATACTAAGTACAGATCCATTTAATCAATTCTGGACATGTTTCTCAGACATTTTGTTATTTGTTTGTCAAATTCAGTTATTTTTAAGGTGTTTGTTATTTTGTCCCAAAACAAATGACCTTATGTGCCAACTAATGATATAAGAATTTGAAAGGACGATTCTCGGTTTGGAGAACAGTCTCCTGGGCTAATATTTTTTTTCATGAAAAATATAGAAATATTACCCAATTTAAACTATGAATATTCAAAAGAGGACATTTAAATCTACAAGATGTAAAAATAACAAATTGGTCTGAAGCAGGGATAACGCTCAATTAGACCGATTCAATAAAATACAAGTCTCGATTTGGGGAAAGAAGTTCATCAGTGTACTGCGCTAATATTTTTTTGCGAAAAATCTAGAAATATTACCCAAATTAAATTATGACTATTCAAAAGAAAACATTCAAATCTATATTATGTAAAAAAAGATCAAATTTGTCCGAAGCAGGGATAATGCTCATTTAGATTGATGAACTTCGTTCTCCAAACCGAGAATCGTCCTTTGGCAAACATTATATCAGATTTTTCATAAAATTATTTAAAGTGCTCATCATACTTATTAGAATATATGTCTTATCATTGACAGATTCATTATTTATCAATTGAAGAATGTATAAACAAAAACAGTTTTATACATTGGTGATCAATTGCATAGCATTTGAATTAGATATTGAACAGGTGACATTTCAATGAAAAATTGCATCCTGTGAAAAATGAATTGTCGATAAACCTTCTCATTCTTACAATTCATTCTCAAATAATTGGCATGGTCTGCTTGTCATTGCCGATGACATATACATAGAGACTGTCGGATATTTTGTCTAAGAGAATAAAATTGCAATTTATCCGTAATGTCATTTTGACCAGATGATCTTAACTCACTTGCATGAACATGATTTGACTCTATTTCACATGGATTATTTTCTTGTCCTGCCATTGTTTAATAACAAGAGAAAATTGTTGACCTAGATTTTGATATATTAGACAACCAATTTTTATTTTGAGGAGTTTTCATATGAAAACATGAAATTCAGAGTTATAGTTAATACTGAGGTGATAAAGATTGAGATGTCTTTACTTTTATACTGTTTTCTCTCACTATATGCTAGTTTTCTATGAAAATGCGATGTCAAGGTTCTCATTTTGAGCTGCTGGGTGGTAATGGGGGTGCACGGTTTTCTAGCAGGCAATACAATATAAAACTTGTCACCAAGACAACAAGAAAAAAACTATTCATCCATTTAACTTAAAATATATTAACAGATGCATTTGCAGATTAGCATTAAGATCTGATTAGCTTTTAGGCATTCATAATATGGCCATTTTGCTCTTCAAGTATGATATTTATCATTCAAGTATGATATTTATCATTCAAGTATGATATTTGTCATTCATGTATGATATTTATCATTCAAGTATGATATTTGTCATTATCCCACGATTAATGTGTTATCTTTACAATAACAGCTATTGATATTTCTGATATTATTGAAATCCGTGTGATATTTTCCAGAAAATCGTTTATCAAACTCATATGCGTGTGATATCGTTTATCTCACGCATATCCGTGTGATATCACATTTGCATTTCGCGCCACAATATTGTTGGAAATTAGGTCCAGAATACCAACATTTCTGGGGGTACTTTTAATATTATTGTCCCACCAGTTCAATCACATTCACATAATAAGACCTCTCGCAGTTATAAAGCTGACATAAAACTGACAAAAATACAATGTTTACATGTTCATTTTATTTACTTTTAATTGTTAAAATAAAGTGTTCCAAATATTCAATTGATATTCTAATTTTTAGTTTATATTGTCTGCCAATGTCATGGAAATTGGATCAGAACATCACAAGGTGATTGTAATCATTGGATAAACCCAATATCACATAATTTCTCGTGATATCATTTTATCGCCTCGTAGATATCAAATATCAACACTCATTCGCTTCGCTCACTCGTGTTGATATTTGATATCAACTCGGCGATAAAAATGATATCACTCAAAATGATGTGATATTCTGTATTTCAAGTATGATATTTGTCATTCAAGTATGATATTTATCATTCAAGTATGATATTTGTCATTCAAGTATAATATTTATCATTCAAGTATGATATTTGTCATTCAAGTATGATATTTATCATTTAAGTATGATATTTATCATTCAAGTATGATATTTGTCATTGTGTGTCTCATTTAAGTATGCCTTTGAATCACAATGATTGTAATGATGTAATATTTAATTTGCCCATTTTGATAAAAATGTGACATATTTTTTCATCACCTAAGGTAAATACTCTAGTATAAGCGGATATGATTTTCCATCTGCAAATGAATTAATGAAGATACTGCTGTTCCAACAGTATATAATAAGAGACAAGACCAAATCAGTATAATTATTAAAGTAGTTTTAGTTATCTAGAATTACTCAGATGCGAGTAGGTAGTTACCAGTTTCGCCACCAGGTGGCTGATTCAGGGGAATTAACATGGCAGGGTATTATAAAATTCCCTTAAACTTGAATATGCATCAGTTTTAGTGGTTCACTTTTCATATTACCCCTGTGTATCTGATAGTTATACAAATTAAAATATGTCCAGAAAAAGAAAATATTATCTGCCCAACACAAGAAAAAATATTTCACTTTCTGTGGTTTTACAACATGGGGTCTATGGGGAATCTCCCCGACCTAGAAGTCACATTTTCAAAGAAAATTAAATTTTCAGAGTTGATTAACTCTTTTCAAAACCACATTTCTAAATGTAATTTGACATGTAGATTCCAAATATGACATCAGTTTGACTGAATTGTGAATTTTTAATGACATAAATCAAGATTATTTCTACTCGCATCTGGGATATTGAACGATATCTGAATTGGTTGTCTTGAATTATATCTGGATTACACAACTAAATCTTATGAAAGCAATATGCAAGGAAGAGTAACAGAAACATTGTTTTATAAACCACATACATTTGTATATCATAACCAAATAGAAATAAATTTAATTGTCAAGTCTGAGGACAGAATAACACATGTATGGAACCTATTCTCCTTTACAATAAGAGTGCTCCTAGTTCATAAGCTAGTATGCCATGGCCAAGTTCACATATACAGTAAAACCTGTCTGAGTGAACACCTGTGTCTAGAGTGAACACCTCTTCTCAGCACATACTCCACTGACTTCGGAATAAAATCGCCTAACTGCAGTGAACACCTACTTATAATGAACACATTTTTGTTGCTCCATAGGTATTTTCTATACACAGGTTTTACTGTATACAGTATATCACATGACTTCTAAGAAATGCAATTTCAAAATCATTTAGTGATTCGTGATTCTCACTATATCACCAATATAAATGTCTTTCAGCTAGAACAATGGCAAGTCTTTTGTGGAATTAAACTGTATTGTTGTATCACGTCCTTGGGTTGATATGAATGACTTATTATGAGTCATTAGTTCATGATGTATTTTGTTCAAAATTGTATGAAAAGAATAGACGTAATGCTGATTCTTGAATTTGAGACAAAATTTACTGTAACATACAGTACATATGAAATGGTCATATCAATTTGAACTCAAAAATATGAACTTGAAGAAATCTAAGATCCAAAGACAGAATGAATAAATACAGCTAAAGGTAGTAGTTTGTAAGAACATTGTTATTTGGTGAAAATAGATAGGGAACAAAAGAAGATATTAGGGAGTTTAAGCTTGCATATAAAATCGAAACACCAACCTGTACGTATGACCAATCGCACATACAAATGCATCGTTTAATAGCTTCATTCACGTTTAGTTTGTGAAAAACAGTGCATGCTTAAACTCCCTAATATTACTTTAGTTGATCAGGAAAGCAACCACATTTATTTTTAGAATGTTATAGATATCTTTTGAAAAGAGCAATTGAACCAAGGTATTCATTTGTTGTTTAGGTGGTTCTATGCAGAGTTATTTGTTCACTTGGCCGCAGTGAAGACTGAGGGAGCGAAGATGGTCAATGGTTATATGAGAAGACCTTGTATAAGGTCAGATTGGAAAGTGGTAGATGTCCTTTACATAAATGCTATTGTTATCTGTAACAAAGTAATGATGTAATCGTTATCAATAGATGCGTTGTGATAAAAATCCTTGGTTCAGTATTGAAATTGTTTCATTGCTATCATATTTTAGTATTGCATATGTATGTCTATCATACATCATTCTGTCCTATAAATACAGTACATGTATATATTACGTAATATGCCTCAATTGGCCATTGACTCTGGGTGATGGATGCCTGCCAAGTGTTGATTGGTCAATTCACATACATATACTATGTTCTGCTGGGTTGCCTTTTATGGGCTTTAATATTATAATTCATATGTACATGTATCTCTATTTTTGTTTTTTAAGGACAAACAATCGTGAATATATTTATTTCTATTTTTATTGTTTAATTTTATAAGGACAAACAATCATTACTACCTATTTTATTCTATACATGATGACAAGTGGGTCTGTACATTATAATGTCATTTTTCTTTGCTAAATCCTCCAATTGTTAGGAAAATTACTAGGAGTAATAAGTCCTAATAACTAAATATTTGCTGACACAAATGCTTTGACATTTAGAGATACTTTGCCTCATTAATTTAATTGCAAGAAATCATTATGTATTTTATTATGCTTTCAGATTATGAATTGAAGAAAAGGGTCTAACAAGGATATATGTATCATCCCATTATTGAGACAGACAAAACCATTGGCAGAGATCTTTGTATCGCTGGGATTAAGGATTGAGTAGAAGAGGAGAATAGATATTACATGTGCTGCTAGATGACGGATAAATGTGTGGGCTATAGAAGTAACACTATACCTTTACCAGTGTAAAGTTTGAGTTTGTATTGCAACTCGGATATAACATATACATACATTATATAATATAATGAGCCATGATTATATATTTATGAATATAGCACTTATCGCAATAAGCCACAATAAATAGCTAAGCACTAAAGGATAATACCTGTATGCTCATCTCACATGAAGTGTACCATATAAATCTATGTCGTGATTTAACAATCTCAAGCCAACAAGGATAAATATTTTACAAGATTCAACTGCAGTACTAGATCTGAATTATCAAAATGCCTGGGATGGGATTTATCCGTACCAAGCTACTTCAGACGGAGAAGACAAATGGAGGTGGATCTGAGGGAGAGGTGTTTGACCCGTATGTTGCGATTAATGTCAAGGAAAATCAGGATATACCTGGTAAGTAACATGTACAATTTCATTTGCAAAAGCTCTGCAATAATGTTCTTTTTCAGGAAGAATTTTTTGATTCGTGTTTGATTTTTTATTTGGCAATAAAGTACAATTCATATTTATTTCTTAAAAGATAGCTTCATCTACAGTCAAAGAAATCTTTGAAGTGGCCAAGAGGTTTTCATCATAATCATCATAATAAGGACGATTTTCTATATATGGTCATTGCCTCTGATCAATGTCATTGTTTAACCATTATTGACCAATTAAACATTATTTAAACATGTTCTTTCTGCTCGCTGATTGGTTGAGAAAATGTCACCAGTGTTGGTTCATATTGATTTACGACCCAGGTTGTGATTGGTGAGGCTGCTGAACTCTAAAATTTTCTTTACTTTTCAGAGGTTACTTTAAAACTTACCTTTGCGTTCAGGGTAGCAAATAAGCAGATTTTTGATTATTATCATTTTTTATATCAAAGCATGACACAGTCCATCACAATGACACCAGTTTGTTGGAATTCACACGGTATAAAGCTAGATATTCATTTTGCCATAGAATCGATTGTTCAACACCTTTTACTATTAAGATTTGGAATCTGGCAGTTTGTATATAGATTTGATAAATAAGATTCTATTTCTCGGGAACTTCATCAAATGTGATCTCTGAAATTAAATGGTTTATATCATGATATTACCATGGAAATACTAATTTCAGGTATCACATAATGTTGAGAAGCAGATGGCTGATAAATCTGTGTGATTTCCTGTGGCATCACTACATTTTACATTTTATTATTAGTTGTGTGTTTTTTAAGTATGTTTCATATTTTCTTGTATATTAGAAATAGTATTACAAATTAAATTGCATATAACTATGATACATTATTTTAAAAGCATATAATTTATAAAAATGTGGAAATATTTTTTAGGCTTTTTAAAGACAATTGAGTGAATGAATGTTTGATTCAGATATAACACACTATATCATTGATCATAGTTTGTCAAATGTGTAAAGACAATTGGGTGAATGAATGTTTGATTCAGATAAAACACACCATATCACTGATCATAGCTTGTCAAATGTGTAAAGACAATTGAATGAATGAATGTTTGATTCAGATATAACACACCATATCACTGATCATAGCTTGTTAAATGTGTAAAGACAATTGAATGAATGAATGTTTGATTCAGATATAACACACCATATAACTGATCATAGCTTGTTAAATGTGTAAAGACAATTGAATGAATGAATGTTTGATTCAGATATAACACACCATATAACTGATCATAGCTTGTTAAATGTGTAAAGACAATTGAATGAATGAATGTTTGATTCAGATATAACACACTATATCACTGATCATAGCTTGTTAAATGTGTAAAGACAATTGAGTGAATGAATGTTTGATTCAGATATAACACATTATATCACTGATCATAGCTTGTCAAATGTGTAAAGACAATTGAATGAATGAATGTTTGATTCAGATATAACACACTATATAACTGATCATAGCTTGTTAAATGTGTAAAGACAATTGAGTGAATGAATGTTTGATTCAGATATAACACACTATATCACTGATCATAGCTTGTTAAATGTGTAAAGACAATTGAATGAATGAATGTTTGATTCAGATATAACACACTATATCACTGATCATAGCTTGTTAAATGTGTAAAGACAATTGAGTGAATGAATGTTTGATTCAGATATAACACACTATATCACTGATCATAGCTTGTTAAATGTGTAAAGACAATTGAATGAATGAATGTTTGATTCAGATATAACACACTATATCACTGATCATAGCTTGTCAAATGTGTAAAGACAATTGAATGAATGAATGTTTGATTCAGATATAACACACTATATCACTGATTATAGCTGTTAAATGTGTAAAGACAATTGAGTGAATGAATGTTTGATTCAGATATAACACACTATATCACTGACCATAGCTTGTCACGTGTGTAAAGACAATTGAGTGAATGAATGTTTGATTCAAATATAACACACCATATCACTGATCATAGCTTGTCAAATGTGTAAAGACAATTGAGTGAATGAATGTTTGATTCAGATATAACAGACTATATAACTGATCATAGCTTCTCAAATGTGTAAAGACAATTGAATGAATGAATGTTTGATTCAGATATAACATACTTTATCACTGATCATAGCTTGTCAAATGTGTAAAGACAATTGAATGAATGAATGTTTGATTTAGATATAACACACTTTATCACTGATCATAGCTTGTCAAATGTGTAAAGACAATTGAGTGAATGAATGTTTGATTCAGATATGACACACTTTATTACTGACCATAGGTTATTAAATATGTAAACACAATTGAATGAATGCATGTTTGATTCAGATATAACGTCACCATATCACTGACCATAGCTTGTTAAATGTGTAAAGACAATTGAGTGAATGAATGTTTGATTCAGATATAACACCATATCACTGATCATAGCTTGTCAAATGTGTAAAGACAATTGAATGAATGAATGTTTGATTCAGAAATAACACACCATATCACTGATCATAGCTTGTCAAATGTGTAAAGACAATTGAATGAATGAATGTTTGATTCAGATATAACAGACTATATCACTGATCATAGCTTGTCAAATGTGTAAAGACAATTGAGTGAATGAATGTTTGATTCAGATATAACACAGTATATCACTGACCATAGCTTGTTGAATGTGCAAAGGCAATTGAGTGAATGAATGTTTGATTCAGATATGACACACCATATCACTGATCATAGCTTGTCAAATGTGTAAAGACAATTGAATGAATGAATGTTTGATTCAGATATAACACACTATATCACTGATCATAGCTTGTCAAATGTGTAAAGACAATTGAGTGAATGAATGTTTGATTCAGATATAACACACTATATCACTGATCATAGCTTGTCAAATGTGTAAAGACAATTGAGTGAATGAATGTTTGATTCAGATATAACACACTATATAACTGATCATAGCTTGTCAAATGTGTAAAGACAATTGAGTGAATGAATGTTTGATTCAGATATAACACACCATATCACTGATCATAGCTTGTCAAATGTGTAAAGACAATTGAGTGAATGAATGTTTGATTCAGATATAACACACCATATCACTGATCATAGCTTGTCAAATGTGTAAAGACAATTGAGTGAATGAATGTTTGATTCAGATATAACAGACTATATAACTGATCATAGCTTCTCAAATGTGTAAAGACAATTGAGTGAATGAATGTTTGATTCAGATATTACACACCATATAACTGATCATAGCTGTCAAATGTGTAAAGACAATTGAGTGAATGAATGTTTGATTCAGATATAACACACTATATCACTGATCATAGCTTGTCAAATGTGTAAAGACAATTGAGTGAATGAATGTTTGATTCAGATATAACGCACCATATAACTGATCATAGCTTGTTAAATGTGTAAAGACAATTGAGTGAATGAATGTTTGATTCAGATATAACACACTATATCACTGACCATAGCTTGTCAAATGTGTAAAGACAATTGAGTGAATGAATGTTTGATTCAGATATAACACACCATATAACTGATCATAGCTTGTTAAATGTGTAAAGACAATTGAGTGAATGAATGTTTGATTCAGATATAACACACTATATCACTGACCATAGCTTGTCAAATGTGTAAAGACAATTGAGTGAATGAATGTTTGATTCAGATATAACACACTATATCACTGACCATAGCTTGTCAAATGTGTAAAGACAATTGAGTGAATGAATGTTTGATTCAGATATAACACACCATATCACTGATCATAGCTTGTCAAATGTGTAAAGACAATTGAATGAATGAATGTTTGATTCAGATATAACACCATATCACTGATCATAGCTTGTCAAATGTGTTAAGACAATTGAGTGAATGAATGTTTGATTTAGATATGACACACCATATCATTGATCATAGCTTGTCAAACGTATAAATACAATTGAGTGAATGAATGTTTGATTCAGATATAACAGACTATATCACTGATCATAGCTTGTCAAATGTGTAAAGACAATTGAATGAATGAATGTTTGATTCAGATATAACACACTATATCACTGACCATAGCTTGTCAAATGTGTAAAGACAATTGAGTGAATGAATGTTTGATTCAGATATAACACACCATATCACTGATCATAGCTTGTCAAATGTGTAAAGACAATTGAATGAATGAATGTTTGATTCAGATATAACACCATATCACTGATCATAGCTTGTCAAATGTGTTAAGACAATTGAGTGAATGAATGTTTGATTTAGATATGACACACCATATCATTGATCATAGCTTGTCAAACGTATAAATACAATTGAGTGAATGAATGTTTGATTCAGATATAACAGACTATATCACTGATCATAGCTTGTCAAATGTGTAAAGACAATTGAATGAATGAATGTTTGATTCAGATATAACACACTATATCACTGACCATAGCCTGTCAAATGTATAGAGATGAATTTTTACTGACCATGATTTGTTGGATGTGTCTAGACAATACAGGTCTGTTTCTTGTCTGAGCTGTTTGCAATGTCCATATTCTGGTGTTTGTTATTAGAAAATGTAATGATCTTTGACTGAAAATCAAATTCAGTTCTGTGCCTATCATTGAGTTAATTGATTCTGGGTTTTGTCAATGGCTTTATCTCTTTCTGGTAAAAATCATTGAATTACATTCAGTCATGTCTTCATAAGCATTTATCAGTATAACTTTCTCATGAAACCAGTCTTAATTTTTATGTCACCACATGAAATGGTGATATATCGTCTTAACTTTTTGTGGACCGTATTCAGTGGTTGGTTGGTATTCAGCATTTGACGGTTAGCATTCATCATCTGTAACAAAGGGCAGGTGGTGACATTTTGCATGTTAGTGCCTTGTTTATTTTTCGCAAGACATGTTCATCTTTCTTTCGGTTCCTGTCATTTAGCTAAAGACGAGTCTGCATTTATTAGAATTAGCCTTCTGTTCCCTTTTACAGTTAGGAAGTTGTTGCAAGTCGATAGCATGAAATGAAACCAAAAGACTTTGTTTTATGACAAACAGAAAAAAACTCATACATCAAGGTAACCAAAGTAGAATGAAACATGCTTATTAGATTAGAATTTTACATATCGGTTAAAACTAAAAGGGGTTCTACGAGGCCTACCTAAATTATCATATTTATTAACTTAAATGATGAATTTCAGGAAAACCATCACAATTAGTTCAGAAGAAAAAGACTATTTATCCAGAATGGAACACATGCTTCGATGCACATTTGTACACAGGGCGTGTCATCCAGTTCGTAGTAATGCAAAGACCAAACAAAATGGTGGCCGAAATGAGCATACTAGCAGATATTCTTGCAGAGAAATGCAAAGAAGGCATTGCTACATTATGGGTAAGTGATCCAAGACAGGCCCGTAGCCAGGATTTGCCAAGGGGGGATCGCTTTTTGAAAAATTCCAGGGGGAGGGTTCACTTGTGACAATTTTGGTCCAAAAATAGCCAAAATCACTTAAAAAGTGCTAAGAATGGTGAAAAACTACATGCTTTTGAAAGATTTTTTGGCCAGGGGCAGGGGGGGGGGGTGCCCTCAAACCCATCGAACCCCCCTGGCTACAGGCATGTAAGAGAATGCTAAAAGTGTGAAGTATATTTTACATCAAAGTTCAAAAGATACATATTAACCTTTGAATTACATGTACATGGATTCATTTTTAAGTTTATATTATAGTGCAATTTGATTTCATTGCCTAGCCCATAGGTTGAATACAAGCTCAAGTTTAGCGTAATAGCCCTTTTAGAATCCCTACATAGAGGGATGTTCTCCTGTTATCTGTAAATCTAATCTTCTTGAACAGGTGTTACTACAATATTCTAGCTTCTATTAATATTTAATCTGTGTAAAAATTCTTCTAGGTTATTAACACCCGCAAAGTTTTTTCTATGTTATTCTACTCCAGATCTGCTGTATTATGTATTTATAACCTCATTTGTATGGGAGAATATAGGATTTGTAAATTAATAATAAATATTCCCTTTCATCTTTCCAGCTAGATCTCAAACCCACAGGGAGACTTCTTGTCCAAGTTAGATTCTTCTCAGAGACTGAAGGTTAGTTTGCCTATGTTGGATGTATCTTAAATATTCCTTTGTCTTATTATTTGGAAGAAATATTATATTTGTATAACAACAGTTCTACATTTAGATACCAAATATTAAGAACTGGGTCTAAATTGTGTGGCCAGTTGTGTAATATGTACTGTTTTAGTGTGTTTTGTTTCAGTACACATGTACTTAAATTTGGATGGTAGCTTCGCAAATATGCTCTGATATATTTCGTCCAATTAAACCTACTGCATTTCTTCCAGTAATGAGGAATTTTGTACTGGGAAGCAATTTGATTTGTTATTGCCTGATATCTCATCTTGGTGCAATTACCAAAATCCTCTCTTGGAATCTTGATAAGATTTACAAAGATTTGATAGAAATGATCAATTTTGGATGTAAATATTGTTTTCATGTGTACTTTTATTGCATAATGTAACCTTAAAGGTAGTTGATCTAACATGTCATCACTGAAAATATTCATCAATGATCCCTCAATCAAGAGATCACTTGTGAAAAGGTTTGGATAAAAAATAGGCTTGTGGTTTTTTGAGGAAGTCTTCACCATTGGCTTTCTGGACATACTTTTTTCTAAGTGGTCCATTTGATATTTCCCGCATTAATATGACGTAAAGACAAACCCTTGGAAAAATCAATGCCCATCACCTAATTAAATAGTGTTTCCCCCAACATAGTTAATTCAGTATTTTAACGGACATTGGAATATTGACCCGCCCCCTTAGTAATGCCTTGGTCACATTTGCTCCGATTTTCACCACGGCGCCCGGCTGATTGAGTATTTTGTTCAAAATTGAATGCAATATTGAACAAAACACTGAATCGGCCGGGCGCCGGACGATGGATCGGAGCAAATGTGACACAGGTATTAGAGGTTAATGTTAGATCAACTTCCTTTAAGTGAAAGTGGGAACTTATTGACAAAATGATGAACGATTATTGACTTCCCGTATGTTAACATTATGTCAATAAAAGTTATATACATTTGTATTTCTAATGGTGATATACAACACGTAGCGATTGCAATAAAATAAGGAAAAAGAAAAATATCTCTAGAAAATAGGGGGACATAATCTTAATTGAATCTGTTTCAATCAAATCGAATCATGTATCAGTAAATATTATCTTTGAACCTCCCTGATGCATCCGTACATACTACATAATTTATAACTCGCTATATCTATTCTCAAATTTACATTGAGTTTCGTCTTTCATCTGAGATTTATTGCAATAAAATTTATCTCACCTTTCAATGATTTATTTTGTAGCAAGCAGGAAAAGTAGAGTGTATTTATAAAGCTTTTATCTTTAACTATTAAGATAATTCTTCAGGTTATAGAAACATGGAAGTTGAGCCAGTTCCTGTATTATGGCTAAATTATGCTCAAAAGATCTGTCTGTCCCCTCATCTACTTAAACAACAGGAAATGGAGGGGGGGGGGCAAGGAACAAGACTAACATGTACTTGTACACATATGCAGAAATACTGTAGTAAAATGAGTAGGATGGTCTCCAAGTGACGGCAGTTGTAGAAAACATAGTTATTTTATTTTCTAACCCCCTTTAAACAAATTTTTTATTGTTCCTTTGAATTTATGACAGCGCATCTTTAAAGCTCCTGGATCAAACCAATGACACTTATACAACAAAATGAAATAACTGAATGAAAAGCTCAATATGGTACTTATATTCCCAGGCTCAAAAATATACATATTTTACCATTGGCTTTCAGCAGAAACCTGAAAGCCCATGATTTTACACAACAATGAATCATTTATTTCCCCCTAATGAAATTGACTGCACAACTGTCAACAGTTGGATACCATCCTTAACTGATACTTGGGAACCTTTTATGATTATCACCATGGTAACGCAGAGGTGTTGCATCTTCTTCCACGTTCTTATACGCTTTATTTCAAATGATAAAGCTTTTGAACATTACTGAATGGAAAAGGGAAATCGGAATAAACTGCTTGTATATTGCGTATATAATATTAATTATTTAAGAAATGTATGTTTGAAGTTGTGCCAATATATTCATATTTACTTGCAATATTATATAAGACATTCGAGTAGAGATGCATCTTTTATTAGACTGTTAGAATGCTTGATTAAATGTTAGTTTTAATTACATTTGGAACGTTGAAGAATTTCATTTCTGTATTATCTTTATATAAACTCAGAAGTGGGAGGGGGTGGATATTTTTTAAAATACATCACACTGTTACATGCCTGTGGTACCAGCGAAGTACCATATGATATAACCCGTTTTTGTCAGAAATACACATTTCTTACCTATAAATGTAATGCAGCTAAGTGTATTTGTGCAGTTTACAAAATCAAATGAAATCATTGAAGTGGGGTCTCTACAAAATATGAAAGATACCCATTAAAAAATATGAAATTCATTCATACTGTGTCTCATCATATTTGGCCTTTTTAACTCATTGCTGGCTATTTTTGAGGTTTTCTGCTGGTGACTGGCCATTTTGATAAAAAATTGATCAAAATGCAATGTCAGATACGATTATGACGTCATAGACGAGATATCTCGGGGTTGGTCAGCAATGAGTTAGTGAGTGTTTCACTGGATTATCTTGTTATGTCTCTTCTTGGGAGAACTGAGATCCAGACATGGCCAAAAAAGATATCCTTTAAACTTTTGACAAAAGTAGGGCTATATATTTGCCTTTTTTGAAGTTCTGACAGAAAGTTTCTGAGGGGGGGGGGCATGTAGATCTTTCAACATGCTTTGACCACCATATAACTCCTCTTTACTGAGACTACTTAGACTATTATACTATGTTATAAAAGCTGCTTTACATCAGATCAGCTTGTCTCTGTTTAATTTGTTGTCTGCTTCTTTTCCAAGAAAACGCATCCAAGATCTTCCGTGAAGAGGTTCAGCCAGGGTCAGCTATCTTTGGCATATTTAAGTCGGGTATATCAAGAAATATTCCAAATAGTTACTTAGATACATTGTACATAACAAGGGTGTAGGGTCTACCCAAGGTTTTAATTAATCATTACCCCTCATATAATATCAATGTTCATTTTGTCCTAGTTAACCCATTTTTTGTATTTATGGTCCAATTTTTAGTTTTTGGTCCAAAGAAATATGTTCCAAAATTACCAACATCTCTATACAATTCCTATGTACATAATACATATACAATACACAACATTTTTCATCATGCCCTTTTAAATTGCCCTCTATAACTAAACATATTGTTATGTAATCTTCATTTATTTAATTAAAGTTACCAACAACCAATAATGCCCCCATACCTATGCACATGTTATTTTAGCCAAAAAATGGAAGGTCACATTTATTTTTGTATGATATATGTGTCAGGTGAAAATTTGTTGTATTAATGTAATGTTTTTAGCTTTATTTTGTAATTCAAAATATTTTAAGATTCGCTTTACTTTCTCTCTCTGTTGTTCTTTGCACGATTAAGTTATAATTCTTAAAGCTATACTACATAGTACATACAGTCATCTCCCCAGCATTGATTCAAGTGGGTGCAGTATCCATTTGAGATTTTTGTTTTGAAGAGACTCAAACAACAGCATATTTTGACCAACATTGATCAGATATTTGGAAATGAGAATTTTGCACCCACTTGAGAAAAAATCCTGGGGAGAACACTGATTACATATAAAGGTTTAAGCATGTGGTGATTTTCATAATCATTCATTCTTTATGTAATGGCCTTTGCAGAGCAAGTACCGGCTATTGACGATGAAAAACAGCAGACCGGAGGAATAACCCGTCGACGTGGTGCGATGAAACTACAAAAAGTCCATGAATCTAGGGGTCACCAGTTTATCGCAAAGTTCTTCAAGCAGCCTACATTTTGTACATTCTGTAATGAGTTTTTATGGTAGGTATTTATCAAACAATAATGTGGTTACAGTAAGCCTTTGTGTACATGCCTAGTTTGCCAGACTCAGTTATCACAAAAGTTTTCTATAAAGTACAACATCCCTGCATAAAGCATCCATTGTAGACATGTAGAGATCTCTCCTTCTGGAAAATTTATAGACTAAAATTTAAAAAAATTAAAAAATTAGAAATCAAATATACTATTCACACTATGTACATATATGTGTATATTGCCTCTCTTTCATAAACCATTGGTCAAGCTGTAAATTAAAATGATAGTAATATGCAGGGTGACCTAAAAAAATAGAACCCAGAAATCTTTGAATAAGAGGTAAGGGTTCTGCTTTTTGTTGGGTCACCCTGTATAAGACTTCAAGCTGCACTCACTTGACTAGAGCTAACATAGGCTCTTTACTCAGGATATTTCTTCATCTCATCAAGCTCATGCACTCTTTATATTCCCCCAATATTTATTTTCACAATATCTCCCTGAATAAGGCTAGGTCCCCAATATCTATCACCACCTTGCGAGGCCTATTCCCAGGGTATTGTATTGTTTAGAAGTCTATTATTCTACTATATTGACTTGAGCAATAAGTGAGCCACAGTGGTCATTATCCTAGTTAGTACTTAGTTTTCAATAGGTGGTGATAATAGTAATAACCTCATTTCAGCAGTCAACTTAATGACATCATATGTCACTATGTAACCCTTAGAGAAATAAGGTTATTGGCCTACAGGGTGTTTCAGAAAAAATGTGTGTGTCTTCAGAAAAGTGGTAGAAATTTGGGGCAGGTTCTTTGAATGAGCCATTCGCTTGCTACAATTATGCAACTTTGTCAACTAAATAAACACTGAAACAACTTTAATTATGCTTTACAAGATTTGTCATACTCTATTTTTACAAAGATATGAATTGTTAGGTGGGTTGCATTTTTTATGAAACACACTGTAAATTGTATGGCTAGACCCATATTTTGAAGATTCACTCAATCAAATGCCTTTTTCTCCATTTTATGGACCTCTAAATGTCTCCCAATATAGTAAAACCTTGGTTAACATCTCTCTTGAGTAAACACCTGTGTTTAGTGAGCACCACTTCAAAACACATTCTACATTGACTCCTGTATAAAATTCCCTCTCTCTAGTGAACACTTACCTACATTGAACACTTTTTGTGACTCCATAGGTGTTCACTATATACAGGTTTTACTGTATTATTACGATAGAGCTTTTTAACTTATGACAGCTATACAGAGTAATGGCTGTGTCAATTACACTAGTAAAGTGTAATTATTAGTTAAGCCACATACTCACTCTGCTATCCACTCTTTATTCATTGGCTGACACAATTTGAAATAAGGTCTAATGACATGCATTTTTCATTAGTTATGTCCTTATCTCTCAATGTCATGTCCTTATCTCTTTTGTTTTTTCTCCTTTATTTATCTTTACTGACCTATGATATGTTCAATCTACATATTTATTCTTACTGATTGATTGTAAATGTTACATCAAGACAAAATGAACTGACTTTCTAATCAATTAGGTATTTTACAAAATCGGGAATAGGAAATAAAAAATCAAACCCCAATAAAGAATTCGTAATAACAAAAATGTTAGCTATCTTTTTATTCTTTCTCAAAATGACAAAAGGATGCAAATTTCGTGGGTAAGAAGAGTTTGTGTGCACAGGAACCCAAACTTGTGATTACCTTAGCCTTTTTCAATCCACCTCGCATTTCTCACTGAGTAATGTCCATATTTCTTGTTTGACAAAGTGTGTCTTTCATTTGAGACAGTGCATCTCCATAAATCTGTGCCTTAGAGACTATATGTCAAGTACTGGATAATCTATTAAAAGTCTGTTGTAATAGAAATTATTCACTTCTGCTCATGTCTTTGGTCTTCAGCATTTTTGCAATTTTTATAAAGACTTAAGTTAAAATACTTTTAGGATATATTAAATGATTCAGCTTGACCAAGTATGAAATAATGAAAAATCATCTTATACAGGATGGGAAAAATACTAAATTTATAAAAAAATGAGATAATACGTCAATTGAATAGAGTCAATTTGAGGCATTTCATTGGACTTTGTTATTTTGATTGCTGTAAGGGGATGTTTTACTTTGAAGTTTGTTGTGTCATGCTAACATTAGCTAAGTCATTGATTGGTGTTTTCACTTTAGAGACTGTTGAGTGGTTTAATTTGATACCTAATATTTTAGAATATGCACCAAGGTATTATATTTAAAACCTTGAGGAATCACAGTATCTGTCAAGATGAATTCGCTCTTAGTGTCCCCAAAATACATCTTGGCTTTTCTTGAGTATTTCATCAAAAAAAGCTCAAAGGACTCCCTAAGAATAGAATTTACTTCCTCTGGGTTCGTATTTTGATGTAATTTACCGATAAGACCATTTCAGTATTCCTCTAATTCATTCTGTTCTTTTTGTTTTCTATATTGTATTGTGATTAGGCTTGAATTAATCAAATGGCTACAGGTGGTTATCTTGCTGAAATATCCCGTGTTTATGATTTATTCATCACAGAAAATAATATTCCTGTGTGGGAGAAGATTGGGTGTTAGCATCTAATATAGCAACAATGATAACCTCATACTGTTATAATTTCCATTCCTGTTCATCTTTATTAAGTGTACAATTTCAGACATGATTACATGTTTGGCATTCAATCACATTAAACTCTGCGACAAGCATGTCAAAATAACAATAATTTCTATCTCTTATTTTTCTTTGCTTAGCAAAAATGAAGCAGATATGTCACATAATATATTATTATAAGTTATAATTTTTTTATTTTTTCTATTTTGAGAAAATAGTGACCCTTTAAATTTAATACCTATTAACCTTTACATATACCAGGCCAAGGTTAGAGGGGGCATTTTTTCCTGACAAGCGCGGATATTTTTTGGCCTCTCCTCTCTTGATTTTCAGGGCCGCCCCTGATATCTGGAGTTGATTTAGCATGGAAAAATATTTATATCTGGGTTTGGGGTTAGAGCTACCTACCAAAAGCTGGCTATGGGTATGACTATTCATATGTACATGTACACCTATACACAAATAAAGAAAATCATGATCTATTAATGTAATGTTTTATGTTTTGCAGGGGTCTTAACAAGCAGGGATATCAATGTAAAGGTAAGACCTCTTAGAACAGTTATTAGATTCCAGTCCATCAGATTTAGTGACACTGAAAATATTTGTTTTAATGAAGCATATTTATTTTGATGTTGAATGTTGACATGGCAATACTCCTGTCAATGAAGAAAGAATTATTCATCCAGGATTCTGTCATAATCATCAGGCTCAATAACCTACAAGCAGACAGTATCATCCCTGTCCAATTATACTTCAGACATTTCTGTCAAATGTGTCAAATGACCATACTAAAATATATCTTATTCTCTGATTTCTCTCTCCAGAGAATGAACTACTTAATTTACTGTCATATCTGAATATTACTGCACACATTTATAGAGTCTTCATCTTTGTTTACATTATTCCTTCCCTTTTCCAGTCTTTTCCTCTCTATTTTACATTTAAAATCTGACCATCGTGATTCTTATTTATTGGAGAATTTCATTTGATAGTCTACGAAAATTCCAGTTTTATAGGCTACTAGTTTTCAACAGTGGCAATATATTTTGAATGATATTGTCATTTCCCAAGACCCTATGAATTATTTTAGTTGATGATGATGAGTTGAATATTAGTGGCCTAATCTCTCCCAAACCTTTCTGAATAGAATGACAATGTATTGCAATAATATTACCCCAGACAGTACGGAGGGAAACCTAATTTGTAAAACATGATGAGTTAACATGTTTCACTATCTGAAATAAGACGGAAATGAGTTTAATTGCCCACGAAATATGCACACAGACATGTAGTGGCCTGTTGTTGCAGAAATGGCCCAGAAATGCGACCATTCGTTGAACTTCTAGGGAAGTGTGTGAAATCGTATGAAATCAGCTGAGTCGTAGTGGCCTTTGAAATGAAAAAACCATAAAAAGTCCCCAGTTATTACGATTGGCAGATGCTCATAAAACTAAGGCTGGGGATATGAGATTAACATTAAACAATACTTTAACAAGAAGGAAATGGTTTTTATTGCTCAGTTTTCTGGCTTTCATCTCTCGTCTACTTGTAATTGTTTCCTTACCCATGCAAATATTTACCAATGGTAAATGATATTATGTTACCATGGCTACTGAATCGGGGGGGGGGTTAAATTATGTCCATCTACATAATAGGATATCCTTCAGTCTGTGTGACTATCTATCTTTCCTGTTTACATCTGCATTGGATACTGGGTCACTTACCGTCACAACCAATTTGATTATTGTTAAAAGCCCAAGGGGACATCTTCCAACCCATTGCCTTTTCTATGAGTGTATTTATAGGAGAATATGTAGGATCATACTAATTCTTGCTATTAATGATCACCGTGGTAACATTCCTGTTTATAATTAGAGTGTACATCTTAAATGTACTAACAGTGGATGAATATATTCCATTTTGTTCTAAATATCAACAGGAAAATTATTAGGAACATTAACTCAGTGGATAGCTTTTTAATTTCAATTATCTTGCAATACGTTTTGTGTTAACTACAATTTCATCTAACAAATTGCTGTAAAAGTCAATTATGTAGATCTCTAGAATGGAGATAAACTTGTTTCCGCTCAATGCTAGAATACTCACTCTGTTCTAATTGAAAGTACTCTCTCAGAATCCTTAAGTGTTGGTTTTAAGTTAATACTCCTCCCAAGCTTATTACTGCCATGTTTAGGTCGGTATAACCAATTACTATCCAGATCATTTAGGAAAGCAAAGTATTTTTCAAGGTTTTGTGTTGTCATAACTGTTTTTATAAACATATTAATTTTGTATGCTATGGCTTATACTGTGGGGTATAGTGGGATGGAATTTGATAAAATGTTAAAAATTAAAAGCTTATTATTACTGTCATATTTCGGTTGGTATAACCAATTACTATCCAGATCATTTAGGAAAGCAAAGTATTTTTCAAGGTTTTGTGTTGTCATAACTGTTTTTTTAAACATATTAATTTTGTATGCTATGGCTTATACTGTGAGGTATAGTGGGATGGAATTTGATAAAATGTTAAAAATTAAAAGCTTATTATTACTGTCATATTTCGGTTGGTATAACCAATTACTATCCAGATCATTTAGTAAAGCAATGTATTTTTCAAGGTTTTGTGTTGTCATGACTGTTTTTTAAACATATTAATTTTGTATGCTATGGCTTATACTGTGGGGTATAGTGGGGTGGAATTTGATAAAATGTTAAAAATAAAAAGCTCATAACTGTCATGTTTAGGTTGGTATAACCAATTACTATCAAGGCCATTTAGGAAAGCAAAATTTAGGAAAGCAACATGTATTTTTCAAGGTTTTGTGTTGTCATAACTGTTTTTTTAAACATATTAATTTTGTATGCTATGGCTTATACTGTGGGGTATAGTGGGGTGGAATTTGATAAAATGTTAAAAATAAAAAGCTCATAACTGTCATGTTTAGGTTGGTATAACCAATTACTATCAAGGCCATTTAGGAAAGCAAAATTTAGGAAAGCAACATGTATTTTTCAAGGTTTTGTGTTGTCACGACTGTTCTTTTAAACATACTAATTCTGTATGCTATGGCTTGTACTGTGGGGTATAATGGGCAGGAATTAGATAAAATGAGAAAACAATAGAGAAAAGAAAATACAAAGAACAGAAATTCACATTTTGAACTGTAAAAAATTGTCAGCAGGACCCTGTGTTGTATATTGTGCCTGTGTTCTAAATTATGCCCCATGTTCTATATTATGCCTTGTGTTCTATATCGTACCCTGGTTCTAAATTGTGCCCCATGTTCTAAATTGTGCCCTGTGTTCTGAAATTGTGCCCTGTGTTTCATATTTTGCCCTCTGTGTTCTAATCTAAATTTTCTCCCATGTTCTAAGTTGTACCCTGTTTTCTACAGGGTGTCAAAAAACAACGGCACCCCCCTCTACAGCAAAAAGTGCTTAATGTTACATGGTGTGTCATATCTCATTTTAAAGACAATTTAATTCTGGAGTTACCTGAGAAATTTCAGCTTTATATCATATAATTTTACAGATGTACAGCTGATTCTTAGTAGTTAGTATGGCCACTAGTTGCTGCTAAAACAGCAGCTTATCTGGACGGATATGATTTCAATAAAAATTCACATAAAGGTGTAGCATTGCATAATCCTCTTCGCACTTTCCTCACATTCTTCAGAAATACATCCTTACTGTGTCTTTTTTCAAGAGGCTCTTTGCCCATCAGTTCCTATACCCTGTTTTTCAGAAATGAACCCGTATGTTCAGTGCAGTTGAAATCTGGAGTAATTATTTCATATTTCACTTTCTGAAGATTTTACTTTTAACCAGTAACAGAGCAGCAAACAAAGTACCGAAGTAGCAAACTTTGAAACAATGTAGCTTTTCTAATATTAAGTTTTATTAAATGAAATTTGATGAGTAACTCCAGAATTAAATTGTCTTTCAAATGAGGTATGACATGATATGGAACATTAAGGACTTTTTGCTTTAGAGGGGGGTGCCGTTGTTTTTTGACACCCTGTATATTGTGCCCTGTGCTCCAAATTGTGCCCCGTGTTTTATATTTTGTATTGTGTTCTAAATTTTCCCCCATGTTCTAAATTGTGCCCTGTTTTCCATATTGTGCCCTGTGTTCTATATTGTGCCCTGTGTTCTATATTGTGCCCTTTATGTTCTAAATTGTGTCCTCGGGTTTCTATAATGTGCCCACAAATACATTGGATGCACCAAAGGCTTTGATATTATTAAACCTGAGAAATATGAGTATATAAGCACAGACAGTTAAGTGTTAGTTATTGCATTTTACATGATCATCTATCACATGTTTTTTCTACTTACCAGTTACCACATCCTTTTATAATTGCTTCTTATAAAACATTCCAAGTACTCATGAACTTTAATTTTGAGGTCTGATGAAATAGTAATTATAAGGTCTGAGAAAAGAGCAATTTCCTATTGCAGAAGACAGCTGTATAATGTCTTGTTATATTATTAGAGATAAATATCCACTAGAGATTTGTTTACTGGAGATTTCAAAAAGAAAACCATTCACTAGGATGATTGGTTACAGAACAACAAACAAATTACATTTAATATCAAAATTATGTAATGATAATGTTTAACTGTTTTTCAGTATGTAATGCAGCAGTACACAAGAAATGTCATGAACTTATCATAGCGCAATGTCCAGGCAGCGCCAAGGACAGCAGAGAAACTAAGGTATATCTTTATCAGAATGGCATGAAAAGCATATCTAAAAGTATTATATTGCCCCTTGGAATAAAATCTATGTTCCTTCCTCAGTGTATAGATTCTGTTTATTCCATAATAACATGTTTTCCCTGGGAAATGAACAGGAAATAGAGTCGATATTCAAAACATTCTGTAGAAGCCAATATCCCACAAGATCAGATCCCTTATCAGAGCTATTCTGTGGGATTTCACTCAGTTTTTACATTTTCCGTTCTATTTTTGAAAAACCTATAAGTTTCAACCAAGTGAATGCTTCAATCCTGGTATATTCTGCAGGATTTGTTAGATTTTTTGTTTTTTTTTAAATTCTGTTTTTGTAAATGCTGCCTGAAACTTTCCATGTCAGCATTCGGCATCTGTAACAAATGGCAGGTGGTGACATTTTGCATGTTAATGCATTGTATTCTTTTTGTAGATGCTGACTGAAAGGTTCCATGTGAATGTACCTCACAGGTTCAAAGTGAACAATTATATGTCTCCCACATTCTGCGAACATTGTGGGACAATGCTATATGGCTTGTTTAGACAGGGACTCAAATGTCAATGTAAGTCTAAATTTTTGAGCTCATCAAATGAAGTTTGAAGGATATACATATTGCCTTTATCTGTCTACCTATGTACATACAGTAGAACCTGTATAAGTGAAACACCCTTGGGACCACAAAAAAGTGTTCCACTTGTGAGGTGTTCCACTTACTGAGGTTCATGAACATAGATTCAATGGGCTGCAGGACTTTTAAAAATCTGTACCTCTTGTGAGGTGTTCCACTTACAGAGGTGTTCCACTTAACAGTTTCTACTGTACATTCTTTCCCCTTTTTATGACCTTCTCTACAGGCAATAACTCAAATACCATTGACTTGATTCGTCAAATGATTCGGCAAATGTCGATGCAAATGATTAGAAAAGCCCAAGGTAAATGAGACCAAATAAAACTATAACTTACAGCTGAGGCCTCGTACTGAAACATCAATCACATCGAACATGATCATGTCCATGTACATGTACTGATTAAGTAAATCAGGAGGTCATTCCTGATAATATTGAAGATTATGTTTCTTGCTTTTTATTTGTTTCACAATATGAATATAGCCCAACCTTGTAAAATATATTACATTTCAAAATCTAAATTGAATATGAATCTTTGGCTGACTGTAAAGTATAGAGTTAAAATGAAGATTCCCCTCTTTTCACATGCTTTGTTGTAATAAACAAACTGAATTTTTGAGATGATTAGATTATCAGGAAAACTATATGCCCAGTATATTCTTTAGTGTCATTTTCCTATTTGTATACTGTTTGTATATATTTTGTTAGTGGAAAATTGTAATTTGAATCATGTCGTTTCAAGTTTATAGTTGAATAGTTGGAACTCTGTTTGGTTTCAGTGTGTGGGTTAAACTGTCACAAAAGATGTGAGAAGCACGTCCCTAACCTTTGTGGCGTCAAGCAAAAGATGCTCGTGGCAGCATTACAGGAAGTCAAGAGGCCAGGTCCAGGGACAAAGCGTTCAGAGGTGAGAAATATGACCTATCAAGATAATTGAGTGTAATGTGAATATTTAGGTTGATATAGAGGTTGCCTCTATCTGTGCATCCGTTTATATGGGTGATAACTCAAATAACGTTGGCAAGATATTGTTCATCTTTTAACAATTTAAAGGATCATGTTTTCAATATTTACTGATTCTTTGGTGACATTTCTGTAGGTGGCAAACAATGCCAAACGGGAGCAAAAACGTGTCCCTTTATACATTATTGGTGTAAGTAGTGACAAATAATGAAAGCTTTTTGGAAGAATGTTTCTGGAATTTAACGTGATATGTTGACTTCCTGTGTCTCTATCAAAACACTCTCGAAAGTAATTCCTGGTAATTCATTTATTAATATGTCGGGATGCATTTAGGCTTTGAGGGTTTAAAGCATTTCACAGAAAACCTGATATATTCCATGAATATGTGACACAAAGCTCGTCTTTTACCTATATCCATAATAATAGAATCATGTAGACTGAGGCATTCATTTTATATTGAATTATACTAGTGACAACTTAAGTATACTGTCATAATGAATTACAAATTAGAATCATTTTGCATTGTATTCTCCAGCAAGTGATTCATTGCGGTGCAGTTGTTTTATAAAATTCGTCTAATATTATATTATAAGTCTACAATGTTTTATAACATCCCTTAATTGATTGATACGTTATTGTGTAACAATGTCTTGGTAATTATTATTATATGATATAAAAATTGTTTCATAATAAACTTAGTGATTATAAATGATGTTTTATGGGTTAATGAAAACACAGAATGAAATCCTGTTCTAAAGGCTAATATGAAAAAGTCAGTACACCCCAGTGGGGTTCAATACCAGAACCCCTCGTTTTCCAAAAGAGTGCCCTACCACTGGATTTAGAATACTTCTCTTGCAGCATTGACATATTTTCTGAAAGTTTGAATAATCTTTTAAACTCAAGTAATTTTCTATGGTTTTTCTGGTATGCTTTTGCCTAAAATAGCCAAAAAAATAAAATAAAATTTAATTTATACCCCTGATGTTTTTACATAAATCATTTTCTCCAGGCTTAACAATTAAACTCCATATTGTCTTTCTTGTAAAATTCCAGAGAATTTATTTCCAAAGAGCTTTCATATCAGTTGAAGTGTGTAGAAAATATTATTTGTCAAAAAGATGAAATATAGCTTGGACAAAATTTTGAATCGATTTAGTGTTCACCACAAACACTGAATTCTTCATACAAATTCATAGTTGTGCTTGTAACCAAAATGTTAAAATTGATGTAATTTAAAATTTTGTCCAAGATACAATTGATGATAATTGCTTTATTTTAATGCATGAGTTTGAAATGGAGGCCTGCATGGGGGGGGGGGCTTCACAAGGGCAGTTTGGGCGATGGATGAAATGGTCTTGATCGAATTTTAAAATGCATACTACATGTACTGTTTAGAAGAGTGGAATTAGCATAGAAGAAAGTGAATAATAGCATGTTGCCAAAACACTATAAATTGTACACAGGAATATCAGACAATTCATTGTGTGGAGTAATACAGGGTGTCCAAAAACAGGACCTTTTAAAAGTTGATTAACTCTGTCAATCCTGAGTATTTTCTGCCTTGAAATTTCAGAATTATTTAGTTCATTTAACGTAAATTTTGTTGTGACAATTTGATAATAATCTGCCTATTGAGTCAAAAACTACAGTACCTTACAAAACATGCTCCAAGTGGGCACTGAATTGTGTATAGGGAGGAAAGGTGCCCCTTGGAACATGTTTTGTAAGGTACTGTATTTTACGACTCAATAGGCAAATTATCTTCAAACTTTCACAACAAAATAGCATTGAATGAACTGAATAATCATGAAATTTCAAGGCAGAATATGCAAGATTGACAGAGTGAATCAACATTACTTTGGTCCTGTTTTTTAGACACCCTGTACTATCAAAGCATGGCTTGTGTGATAGATGATATAGCATAATAATAACTAACTTCTGTTTCAGTTTTGTAGTTCCAGTTTAAGTGACGGCATGCAAATTTACAGGTTTCACATATACCCTAGACTAGTCTTTTAATATTTCCCTCATTTTCAGTTTCCAGAGTTTAGGTTTGGATTTTATTATGGTTTATGAGGCTTGGTTTGTGTTATCAAATAAGACAAGCAATTGATTGATAGATTCGTTGGGTTATAGATGAATGTGAAATTGATTGAATTAGATTATTATTTTACCATGCATGAATTGTTTTATGATATAAAGTTGTCATCTGGTGATTGGTATAGAAACAACAAATAACATTGTGAAAAGAACTCAATTGCATTTATTGTAAATCTAATTGAGAGATATGATTTTTATTTAATAATACTAAGAGCTGTCAGATCTGTCTCATTTCTCATTGTTACTGTGACTATGTCACAGTGGTTTAATTTTAACTTGCAAAAAATGGTGGAATAACAGCGCAATAATAAGTAAAGAATGAAATTGTAATTAAGCACTTTGTTAACTCTAGATTTAATACAAATGCTAAACTATTAAACACTCGATTGTCTTAATGGAGTTATGTGAAAAAGACATGACTTGAATGCTAATCTAAGCATCAATTTTGGAATCTTGGATTATCAGTTGACAATTGTTATTCACTGCTTTCTTTGCGCTCTGAGTAATGCCATTAAGTGTGTCTTTGACATGTTTTTGTAGATGAGAATTACTTTAAGATCAGTAGATATATCTGCAGTGTTAAGATACTGCCCTTACAAAAACTATCATTGTTGGTCAATCTTGCACTTCTTCCAGAGAGGAGTTAACACATCATTTTGTGACCTTGACCTTGATATACTTGTTAACTATTCTCCAGTCAGATACTTCCTTTGATTTCTAAAAATAAATACATGAATTTGATTATGTACTGAATAATTTAAATGGGAATTTGTTTCTTTTAGGGGTCTATTTTGACTTATTTTGGGTCTGATACAGCATCATTGACATGCTGACTGAATATAGGCCTTGATGCACTTAATCTCATTCATTATCATTTGAATAATTATAAAATTGAACTCTTAAGGTGGCTCAGTGATGCTAAGATTGAAAGAAATTTGGATTAACCCGTACTTGCAGAATCAATAGACTTTGCTATTAACCTTTTCTATAAATTAAAGAGGCTGAAAATGTTCCTCAATCGCCCTTATAATTTACAGCTGTCACGAAACTTACTAGATATAAGGTGTGAATATATATGTTCTAAGCTTTATTGTTTTCAGGGAGGAAACTTCAAAAAATCAAAGTCTGTTATGGATGGTGTATCTGACTTTTTCCAATTAAAAAATTGGGAGTGTTCTGGAGACAGAGCCCTTTTGTAAAAAATTGGAGATTGTATATTCTATACTTGAATCCTACAGAGCACAACCTCCACGCAGAGTCGACTTTCCTCCAGTGGCGCTAGTAGCAGTGATGTATTTGAGGAGGAAGACGATGACGGCCAATACAGCACAGTAGCATTTGGTGATGATGCTCAAACATCACAAAAACGACTTGTCCCTCCCCCAAGGCCCTCTATGAGACCAACACCTGCTCCTAGACCATCCAAACGTTTACAAAAATTTAACGAAAAACAGTTCAATTTTTTAAAAATTCTTGGCAAGGGTAGTTTTGGAAAGGTACTGTTTTGGGTTTTTGATTTGGAATGAGCTTTAAGCAAGCTTTACATGTATGCAAAGGTTTGCTCAGTTATAATAAACAAAAAATAAATGTACTTTTAAGTATAAGTCAATCAATCAATTTGATTTGATTATAAATTATGCTTTATGCAAAATTATATGATACTGAGAGCATAAACATGAGCTTGCCTAAGGCAGTAAGATTTCCACTTGTTTGTTTTAGTTAAGGTGTTCCTTTATTTAAGTCAATCCCTCCCACACAAACCCAACAACCATTTTGTGAAAATTGTTTAGGATAATTTCACAACCTCATCAAACCCTTTTCTATTTTTTAGGTACACCTTTCATAAATCTCTTCTCACCGTCCTTTGAAGTATTTCATAATCCCATCAATGCTGAGTTCCAAACCAAAATTTCCTCCAGCATTTTGGGAACATTATCTGCTCCCATAGGTGCATTGTGGGAACATCATTTACTTCCAACCAAAGGTACACTATTGGAACATTTTCTGCTCCAACAGGTGCATTATTGGATATTTCCTAGGAAATAGATGATAGCCCTTTTGATTACAGGTGAATCAAGGAAAATTGAATGCTGCATGATAATGATTAATGATAATTAATTATGCACGAAAATGAGATAATTAATGAGATAATTAAGACCTTTGCACATTTCTATTATTTCTTAAGCCTAAAGATGGCGCCACAGTGCAGGAAGAGGAAGATTCAGACAATGATGCCTATGAGCCACTCTGGACTGATATAGAACCTCCCCAAACCCCCACTTCTCAGGCTCCCACCCCAGCTCGTAGAGTTAAAAAGTTTGAGGCTAAAGAGTTCAACTTTCTCAAAGTGTTGGGTAAAGGAAGTTTTGGAAAGGTAAAGGGAATATTCTGCTTAATGCTGGACTTGCATGGAAGATTGGAGTTATATAAGATTTTGTATCCTTTATTTCTTCTTTAAATTTTCTATAAGCTTCAGTGTAGTCTATAATCTGTTTTTCAGTTTCATACTTAAGCAAAAAACGCAAAGTTATGTGTGATCTTTATTTGTATATGTATGATGTATTTGAGTCTCAATGAAAAACGAATACTCTTGCACATATAGCTATCAAATATGCATTTCATGTATGTTGCCTTGGTTTGCTTATTGTTTTAAACAAAAACCACATTTCAATTATTTTTGATAAAGTGATCATTCCTTTATTATAGTACATTATTTTCTAGGTTTTAACATTACCTAGTTACATATATTCAGCTCTTTAAGTGAGGTTGAGAAATATTTACTGATTTCTAATATGAGTGCTTGTGCCCCTGCAATATTCTGAATTCCTCTTATTCCCACCTATGAAGCCATTCCTTCGTGACAAATAACACCAGGGATATCCTGACATAGTTTACACTTTATTCAAAGATCCAAGCATAGTTTGAATGACTTCATGGGTGGGAGGGGATGGTGAGTACACTTCATAGTTTACTTGTATGTAGGTGTTCCCAATGTATGCGCATTTTCACTCCATATTCTAGGTGATGTTGGCAGAGTTGAAGGGAACAGGGACATACTATGCCGTAAAGGCTCTCAAAAAGGAGGTGGTTTTAGAAGATGATGATGTAGAATGCACAATGATTGAGAAACGCGTCTTAGAGTTAGGATGCTCCCACCCTTACCTTACTCATTTGCACAGCACGTTCCAGTCGAAAGTAAGTGTACATGTACATGCTCCTCCTTTTGAAGATGATGGGATATATGATGACATGGTATAATTTTTGAAATAACAAGCTTTGAAAATGATTTCTGAATGATAAATTTGGTTCAATATGTCAATATATTAAGTCATATGTCAAAAAATTAAGTCATATGTCAATAGATTTAGTCATATGTCAATAGATTAAGTCATATGTCAATAGATTTAGTCATATGTCAATAGATTTAGTCATATGTCAATATATTTAGTCATATGTAAATAGATTTAGTCATTTTTCAAAGTATAATTTTATCACAGAATGAAATCCCACCCAAAAGCTACAGTCATCTCCAAGTACATTTACAAAATATTGAAGATTTTCCATGCCAATCAAATGAATATATGAGTTTGGAGTAGATTGCTCTCTGGGAAACATGTCAGTATAATCGCCATGGTCGCTTATTGGCATCCCTCAAACTTCAGGTAGTCATGAATAAATTGTATTCTCCGCAAATAACTACATTTTATTGGATTATGACATTCTATTCCAGAGCCATCTATTCTTTGTTATGGAGTATTTGAATGGTGGAGATCTTATGTTCCATATCCAAGCCTCAGGACGCTTTGATTCTGAGAGATCGAGATTTTATGCTGCAGAGATAGTATGTGGCTTGCAGTACCTCCATGCTAAAGGCATCATATACAGGTATGCCTTTTAAGCCATTGTTATACTATATCTCCAGAGCAGTAAGAAAATATAAAGCAATAGAATAGGTGTAAGATTCAAAATGTTATTGTAAAAATAGAAAAAAGGTGCCATGATCGATTGCTCTGTTTTGGAATGGAGATGTGTTCCATTCGTTAAATAATTCGTTAAGATTGCTTCCTACGTTTTACACATTCAAGTCTTTATTGCCCATTTAAGTCTGTAGAGTAAAATGAAATATTTTGTTAATATCCAGGTTTCAAAGTCTCTTGTTTATTGGAATTTCCATTTCGTATACCCTGACTATGAGTGTCTGAAATGAGTTTTTATTCGCTCATAAACAAATAGACTACAAGTGATAATTTTCAAGCCAATTTTATATATACAGTAAAACCATTCTTCTTGAACCAGATGAAATGATTCTTACAATGTGAGTGTGAATGGGGAAACTCAAAGAAATGACCCAAAACCTTTTATGTACAGTTACTCAACTTTACTGTATTTCTCATTACAGAGATCTAAAACTGGACAATGTATTACTTGACAAAGATGGTCACATCAAAATAGCTGACTTTGGGATGTGCAAAGAAAACATTATTGGCGATAACAAAGCTTCTACTTTCTGTGGAACACCTGATTATATAGCACCTGAGGTGAGTGCCATCTGTTGATAAATATCCTAATTAGTATTTAGAATGGGAAATATAATCGAATTACAGTTAAACCTGTCTTAGTGATCACCTATCTTTAGTGAACACCTGCATCTAGTGAACAACTCGGCACATGCCTCTCTGTAGTGAAAACTGTGGTGAACACATTTTTGTGGCTCCATAGGTGTTCACTATATACAGGTTTTACTGTAGTTTACGTAACATGCTTTGAATGCACACCGGAATAGCCTGACAACGGTAAAGCCAGATACTGTTGTCACAAATGGTGGACATAACCGTCGCTTCAACTGTTTAATCACTTGGTCCTCATTTCATGGGATTTTATCGTCGCTAATTCTGTGCATGTATTAAGCTTTTGTGATGTTTCATGTGAAATCCCAATTTCGATCAAATTGGGTTGTGAATCGCCATAATATAGCGTCTTCAATATCATCGATGACAACGGAATCTGAATTTGAGTAAATTAGAAAGACAACGGCATATGGTAATTACAGTGTCCATTGTCCTGTATCTTATGTATCTTATTTTGATTGGTTAAATTAAAGACTTTATTTCGATGTTAGAACATTGTTAACTGTACAATGAGTATTAAGACACTTTGATTAATTGTTGTTCCAAAGGAATTTAGTCTAGGTGCTCTATTAAACATACAGTTCATGAAAATCTAATTGAAGCGACGGTTATGTCCACCATTTGAGATGATATCTGACTTTACCGTTGTCAGGCTATTCCGGTGTGGAATGGGAGCAATTACTGCATTGCCATCTATAGATTCATTCATTCATTATTTATTTTTGTATGTATGTATTTTTTCATTCTAGATATTGAAGGGTTGGAAGTATACATCCTCCGTTGACTGGTGGTCTTTTGGCGTTCTGCTATATGAGATGCTGATTGGTCAATCCCCATATCATGGTGACGATGAAGATGATTTGTTCCATTCCATATGTCATGACACGCCACATTATCCAAGATGGCTATCGAAAGAGGCAGCTTCAGCTCTCAGCTTGGTAAGATTTAAACTGGATACAACTTCCTGATTTGTGCTGCAATTGCGTCTGTTGAAGTTCAAATAGAGCTACAAAGGGAATACAAAGGCCCATACAAAATGAATAAAGGCAAAAGGGGATTTACACTGAATATGGTTTCCAGATTTTTCTGCAATTTTTATTCTGAACAGTATACAGTTCCATGGTTAATAAAATGGATTTATGAATTTTGAATGCTTACAGAAATAACCCTCAGGCTGACTGCCCTGTATAGTAGTAGTTATCTAATATTTCCTATTGTTCTTTGTAGTTATTTGAGAGGAAACCCTCTGAGAGATTAGGAATGTCAGAATGTCCAGCAGGCTCTATACGACAACATCCATTCTTCAAGCCTGTCAGCTGGGACAAAGTGGAGAGAAGAGAAGTACCACCACCATTTAAGCCAAAAATAGTAAGTCAAATGCAAAGGGATTTCAATTTTCCAAGCTAATAAATAACTTTTTTAACATAAAATTATGTGCATTCATGACAAATAAAACTGTTAAAGCATCTTTTATACATATTGGAGAACTTGGCATTGTCCCCCTTGAAGTGATCGGAGCCATTTACTGTATAAGTAGTAATTTTGCCTAATCATTTAATTTTCCTATTTCCTAATTTTTGCCAGGTTCGGAAAATTAACTGTCGGAAATATTGTCTTTATAATGTTATCCAATGGGAGGTTTCTTGTCATTAGGAAAATTAAAATTAGGAAAATGATGAAATTTGACCATTCCGAAAATTAACCACTCGGATTAAATACCACTTATACAGTATTCTGTGGAACAGAGTTGAACCATTCATGTGACTTCCACACCTTTATTACCTTATATGGCAAATCGTCAAGGCAATTACCAAGTTGTCATATGATGTGATTATGATGTGAAGATATGACAAACAGATAATTTTAACGTCACACATCACTATTGATTCTATGTAATATGTGAAGTCATTGTTACCTCACACGAATGTCTACTTATTTATGTATTGTTGGGATAAATAAGCTATTATATTTGATAGGATTTTATTAGTACTGATGCCCTTTTAGGGCCAAACGTACATCCGATATACAATTTTCAATAACAGTAAATATAGCAATAAAGTAAAGAAAATAGGATTACATTCTTCAAATGACATATAAAATGTTACTTTGATATAAGAATCCTGTCTCTACCAATCATTAGATACTTTATCATGTCAGCAGATCAAAGCTACAATAAAGTTGTTAAATAAAAACAGATAATTTGATCTTAAAATATATACCGTCTGATATAATTTCTCCATCATTTCTTTTGCAGAAATCCGCAAGTGATGTTAGCAACTTTGACACAGACTTCACGATGGAGAGAGCACAACTTACACCACCAGATAAAGAACTATTAAAAACAATGGATCAAGAAGTTTTCAGACATTTTAGTTTCACTAGCCCCATGGCTTTGGTAGATTGATGACACCGTGACTGTTAATAGTTTCATAATACAGTAGTATGAAATAGCAATCTGGAGAGGAGGAATATCCCATAATTCAATCCTAATCCTATCACCATATAAAGATGAATATCTACATAGAAATATGTTCATCTATGAATTCTGGGTTATTTCCCCTTTTCAGCAATCTGGAGAGGAGGAATATCCCACAATTCATTCATGGACCTATCTCCATGATAACCTTAACCCTCTACAAAGATAAGTCCATCTATGAATTCTGGGTTTTTCCTCGTCTTAGCAATTTGTATTATATTACTTGAATTATGGGCTGCTTCTATGGTTTTTCAGTCCCATTTTATCATTTGTTATCACATGTGCATGTTGACATGACATCCAATAAGATTAAAATCTAAGGAGTAGCCCATAAGCCCATATCATACTTTAGAATTCAGGTTTTACATTTGTACTTAACCCTTAACATACATACCATTGTGAGTTATTCTGTCTCAATATTTACAAGCACTGCCTTTACTATAGTTTTTTATGAAAGTCAATATGCTTAAAGTGTCATTTGGCTGTTGCAAACTGCATGTTGATGTTAGGCTGGGGTTTGTTTTTGGTATGATCGTAACTTACGATTCCAAGAAAACCGTTGTCTTTTTTTGATGAACGGTGACTTGTGATGAAATTGTAAGATGCAATGGTTCCAAATATGGACCCGTGTATAGTGGTATATGAACCACACATTCTGGTTCTGTTACTCAATGTCAGGATCTGTAAGCAAAACATTGTCAAATAAGGGAAACAATATTAAGACCATGGCCAAATATATCACTATACAACATACTAAACAGCAGTACATTCTCGCTCAACCAAGTAGCTGTAAATAAAGTATAAGGGATCACTTATAAAGGTTGGGCACTTTTTGCGGTAATGTAATTCATCAGGTGGATTTGTATGAGTATTCTTAAAGGGAAGATAATGAGTTTTAACTCAGTATTACTGTGTTAATTCTTCATTTGGCATTCATTTGATTTGTTGGATATGAAAATAACACAGCTGTTGTTGTAATATACAGATTGTCTGGGAGATTAAGCTCCTAGATTTAGATTTAGGTCCTAAAGTGACAAAAATCATGTAAAATACAGAACATTCATACTTTTAACACTGCTTGAAGAGAAAGATATATTTGTGGAAATGTCCCATTTGTTGTAATGCTTTGAACTGCAGTAATGGTTGACTAATGTGTCACTTAAGATAGATCCGCTCAGTTAGAATTTTTATGTTATTTTCTAAATTATAATTACCAATGATTAATGAAATGTGTAATATTTTAAACATTGTATGTGGATATGTTCTCATTATGGCAGAATACATAGTTCAAAATCAAAATATTAGAATCAAATTGATGACAGTTTGAAACTAACCCTCATATATTGTAACATATTAACATAAAAGATGTAAATTATTATTAATGTCTTGTAAATTATTTCTTTGTTCATATCATTCCAATATATGTGTTTTACCATACTGTGTATTAAAAAACAACATCATTAATAGATGGAAATATTGCATTTATATTTGTAGTGAAGAATCAATTGGTATGTCACCACCACAAGTGGTGACATATTGTTATAAGTCTCCAACTTTTTTTGTGGATGGTAGTGTTCAGCATTTGACATCTGGCATTTAGTGGCTAGTGTTTGGAGTTCAGCATCTCTAACAAATGGCAGGTGGTGACATTTTGCATGGCCTTGTTTTAATTAAATGATTCTCAAAGATATCTTAGTTACAATGCCTCTTTGTATGATATTCTCCCTTATACCTTGTTGTATTTTATCCTTCCATCACCATAGCAACTATCGCAACTTCACACTCCCCGTGGTTTCTGCAATACTGCTCTTTATTTACCAACAGAAACCCACACAATAATCATCTTAAGTTATGGTTATGAAAGGGAAACAGTCATGTGTGTTACCTCAGAAATGCTCAAATATAATACCCAACCAAATATTCTGGACATACAGGGTGATCATTAAGTTCTGGGAATTGGTCTGCCATTTCAAGATTTCTCAACCATTTGAGTTGAAATTTTCAGCAGATGTACATTGTATAATTCTGAATTGACAACCAAAGTTTCATATACATATCACATCTACAATTTATTTTATTGTAACTACAAAAAAAGTAAAAGTGGTCCGCGGGTCAGCAAATTTTGACTGATGCTAATCTGAAAATTTCCTGCCAAAACAATATTCATCTTGCCTAGATGGTTGCTTCAAACTACTTGTACTAGAGGCAGAACAGTACTCTTGAAGTCATTTATTAAGAAGTATTCTTTATTGCTGAGAGTATCATTTCATTAATTATAATTGTTTCCATTAGCCTGGACGCACATGCGTCGTTGACAAACTTAGTTCTTAAAGATGTGTTCCAGTCCTCCCTTTGTATCCCTTGAAGATTTGCTCAAGCTGTTGAAATCAGTCCCTTATCGGAATCAAACTTATGACATCTCATATAATGCTTTAGCACCCAAAATGTAGTGAAGCCTAATGGTGCTTCATCTTGTGAATATTGTCTGGTGAATATGGGGCAGTAATAACTTATGTGGACCTTAATTCTTCAAGAGTAGTATGGGCAGCTTGAGTAATGGGAAGGAGCATAGTCATAATCGAAGATAACTCCCCACTTTTTAGAGTCATGATTTTGACTTTGAGATGCAGATTGATGATACAAAAATAGAGCAAAGTACACTCTTATATAACAATACAGATGTCACTTTAGAAACTAAAGTAAGAAGTATTTGAAAATATGAAAAATCACAGAAATATGTCCACCAAATAGGTATTTATTAACCATACTTTTGGATCAAGCAAAATCTGAATTCATTTCTATTTAACTTGACCCGCTACGCCACTTGTCATGTTACTATAGCAACAACAATTATCCATTGTGACATCAGATGACAATGAGACTGTTTTATCCAACCCAAAATTACATTCCCCATTTACCTTGAAAATTTCAAGTAAATTGGTTGAAAAATAATGAAATGGCAGATAAATTCCCAGAACTTAGTGATCACCCTGTATCTCAGATATCAAGGTTAAATGTAAAAATGTACAAAATGTAAATACTAAATATGATTAAGAGAAGCACCATCTGAAATGTTTTGCACTGAATTCTACACTTAATTTGAAATATGAAAATCATTTTGTAATTCCAATAATTTGCACTGCTAAAGAAAGAAGAAGCAAGCAAAAAGGGGAAACAAACAAATAAGGGATTTTCTTGCACAATTTGGAAAACACATTTTTATTCTTTATAGTTATGAGAATATATACAATTTTTTGGTGCAGTCCAGGAATGTACCCCAATCCAGTTTTTATTCATTTTGGAACCTACAAATGGAGTATAACAGTTCTGGGAAACATTTGAGATTTGCAGTTATAGAACATTATTATCATTAAAATTTTAATATGGAGGAATTTCTCCACACTTTGTGACTGGATAATATTTGTATTTTCTCATATACTGTACATGTATTTGGATATATATATTTAAAAAAAAACATAGAATCAAGTATGAGACTTACTTGTATATTGGCAATCAACTTCTGTTGGTGTATGTAAAGTTAAGATTGATATACATGTAATTATATAATGTTACATCTTACATCTTCTTTGCACTGTGTGGTCTCTAGTCAGCTTAACACAGAATTTGTTGCAAATATGTCTTGCAACTTGTAACATGTTATGTAACATTATTATGACGGGTGTCTCACTCCATCACTAGAGCTATCAGTGATCAGCTTGCAGTCATCAAATATGAACATATCTTAGGAGCCAATCAGATGATTAACAGAATGCCAATTTTTGGTATATTTGATTGTTTCCATCCCATAATAGTTTGAAAATAGGAATCCCAGAGTCTCCTCCTTGGCTAATGCTTGTTTAAAGATGATAGAGACTGTGGAACCCAAAATAGGATTTCTAAAGTTTAAACAGCTTTTTGGATTGATTATCATTATCTACTTCTGATTGTTTAATATTCTTTGTAATGATTTATCTAATTATATTCGTGCATGACATATTCTAATATACATGTATATTTTAAATTATTGAAATACGGTGAAACTTGTCAAGTGGAACATTCTTAGAAGTTGAACACCTCTATAAGTGGAACACCTCTATAAGTGGAATACCTCTATAAGTGGAACACCTTTTCCCAGGACCAACTGCTTTAATGTTAAATGAAGCTCTATAAGGGGAGGGATCAAAAGATCAATGTAATAAAAGATCAGCTTAATTAGTTCAGTTTAGAAACAGACATTGAACTCTGCCTCCCCTAAGTGGAACACCTCCCAAGTGGAACACTTTTTAGAGGTACCGAAGGTGTTCCACTTCGACAGGTTTAACTGTACATATCTTTGATGTATGTATTACAGTATGCACTGTAGCACTAATAGAGGCTTGCACATTGTCTCAGTGATTATTTGTAAGCACCATATGCTTAAATGTTTTGTAAATGTACTGTGAGATTGTATATATTCACAATAATAATCTAAATTTTATTCTTAGATTTGTATGGAAATATAATATATTATAAAGTTCTATGTAAAAAAGAAATAGAAACAAATGTATACTAAACTATATAAAAATATCTATCTTGTTTGTCACTTACATATTTGTAGCATTTAAAGGGATTAATGGAGATACGGAGCCATTTCCCCAAAAAGGTCTTATTTTCTGAGTTATTTTGGCTCATTATCCCAACGAACGAAGTTCGGTAGGGATATAGTGAAGCCCTCCGTCCGTCCGTCAGTCCGTCCGTCCGTCCGTCCGTCCGTCCGTCCGTCTGTCCGTCCGTCTGTCCATCCGGAAGATAACTCAAATATTAGTCGACGGATTTTCTTCATATTTGGTGGAAAGATGTATATTGATGAATAGTTTTACGCAAAAAAAAATGCCGGGACTTTTTCGCAAAAATCATAAATTTTTCATTCTAAACCAAAGTAATTAACATTATATATTTTGGTAGTATATTCGCAACATCTATCTATTTCACATATAATCCGTGTTTTTCATCCTGACCCCCAGGGGCCGTGTATGGGGGGGTCAGGAAAACAGAAATTTTCGCTAATTTTTAGATCTTTCTGAAGTATAGCTTTATTATACTCAAATGAAAGGCAATTAAG